GGGTGGGAGGAGACCCGGGACTGGCCGACCCTTCAGGGGTCTCCAGCCAGAGAGGGTGGGGCCTGAGCCTTCTGGGGGTGCCCTCTGTGGGGTGCTGCTTCACGCCGGGCCCGGCCCTCCTCCAACGCTGGCCTGTGGCGCCCAGGCGCTGGCGGGCGCGGGAGGGGAAGGCGCGCTCCTGAGTGCCGCTGCTCTGAGTGCTGCTCGGGTCCAGCACTTCCCTCCCATTCTTCAGTGCAAACGGCAGCTCTTTACGGCCGCCATCAATAACCGCTCCGTCCCCCCCGGCCGCGGCGGCCACATATATAATATTTAAACCATACTGGTGGGTGACAGAGACGTACGGACATTTTTAATCCCAACAGGCTATTACGGTTCATATCATGTCTGTCAAATAAATATTATGAATCATTTCCTGTTATCTTTATGGGGGCGAGGGACTCCGGCAGGGAGCCGGAGCGGTGGCTCCCTGCGTATTCACCCCCTTATGTATATGTATGCGCAGCGACGGAGATGGATGGGGCAGTTGTCAGTAACAAATGCCCCTGGGGAGTGGCCTTCTCCTCGGGCTTGGTGGGCGGTGCCTGCAGAGGGCCAAGGTCGCCAGGGACGGCGGGCTGGGCCGGGGCGGGGATCTGGCCGCCAGGCCAGCCCTGTCCTCGCGCTCACGTCGCGTCCTCACGCTGGGCCCAAACAGCCCTTCGGTTCGCTGGCTCTTCTTGCCCATCCCGTGGAAGAGAGATGGAGGTTCAGAGAGGGCCATGGGAGAGCCAGCTGGAGGCTGAGCCGGGCCGTGGCGTATCCTCCCCGGCACCTGGTTTTCCAAGCCTGGGCTCTGCTCACACCCGGCACCCCCACCCCTGCCCCCCACCCTGAGAAGCAGGTAGTTCAGGAGTTCACGCCGGTGGTGGTCCTGAGGCTGCCCTGGGGGGTCTGATCAACGATGTCCATCGTGGTGACGAGGTGCTGGGGCCAGTCCCTGCCCCCCTTAGCCTCAGTGTCCCTGTCTGCAAAATGGGGAGCAGGGGTCTGGGAGGTGGGTCCCTGCATCTGGCTTTGGGGTTCTGGGAGAGCCCTTGCCTCTCTGGCTTCACCCCACCTCCCTATGAGTCATCTGTCACCACAGAAAGTGCCACCCCCGAACGAGCCACAGAGGCGGTGACAAGTGCCCTGTGGGTTAGGCTGCTTGGGGACAGAGGCCATCCGTTCATGGGGACAGGCTGGAAGTGCCTAAGCCACTGCCATTTCTGTTGGGGACAAGCACCCCGACCCCCTCTGAGGTTGCGCTGGCCAACCCTTGGGCGGGATCATATGTGCCTTCCTTGGTGGGAAGGAACCGGTAGCAGCCAAGGGGCCTGCCTCTTGGTGCTGCGGGAGCTGCTGGGAGCCGGCTGCCCAGACGCCAGACTCAGGGGGCCCCAGCCCAGCAGACGCCCGCCTTTAAAAACATCATTCGCCAGCAATTCCGGAGACTGTTTACAAGACTGAGCCGAGACAGGCGCGAGGAGCAGACCCAAGTACCTTAAAAAGCACCCTTCAGGGGGAATAAAAAAGCCCCAAACAAAAAACAAACCCCTCTCAGATCCCAGGTTGTAAATAGATGGATATTACTACAAAAATATTTTTGGCTGCGGAAGCACATAGCAGGAAGGTGTGTGGGGGAGGGCGGAGTTTTCCATGGTCAGCTTGGATCTGGCCACTCCAAGCGGGGCAGCCACTGTCTCGGGCTGCGTCGTCTGGGATCATTTGCACCAAGGGGCCCCAGCTGGAGGGGAGAGTGAAAATAGAAAAAACAAGCAGAACTCGAATTTTCCAGTTTGCAGGCCCGCCCTGTCCCGCTCCCCTCGCCTGCCTGTTGCCACGCCTGCAGGTGAGAGGGGCCGGGCAGAGAGAGCCTGCAGGAGCAGCATCTGCAGGGTCTGGGCCAGGTCTGGGCGGGGCCGGCCCCCTGCTCACTGCACTGTCCACGTGGTGTCCAGGACAGAGGCTGGCTGGGCCAGGTGATGCCTCCACGGGTCTGTCTTAGGAACACAGGGCGCCTCTCGCACCTCCGACAACCCTGAGCCCTTGTGCCTCCCCTGGGGCGGGGAGCCCAAGGGGAAACATGTCAGTGTGCGGGGCTCCCAGTCTCCAGGTGCCTGCCCTCTCCGGCTCACTCCAGTTTCATGGCAAGGCTGCGGCTGGGGGAGGGGCGGCAGCCCAGGGTGTGGGCTGCCCAGTACCGGAGGCCACCACAGAGTCTGGAGCCCAGCCTTGCAGGCCTCCGGGACCGGCCTGCCCACCCGCACCCGGCCTGTTCCGACCTGCCTGCCCAGCGGGCTGCTCTCTGGGATCTGTGCCTCCTCCCTCCAGGTCCCTGCTCACGCCTGTTCTTCTCCCTGCCTGATGGAAAACTCCCACCTTCAGACCAAACTCAAGAACCAGCCCTTCCCGGAAGCTGCCTGGGCCCCCTGGCTGGGCCTGGCCTTGCCCTCCGCTCACCATCCCCAAGGCTTCCTGCCTGCCCATCACGCTCCCCCCCAACCCCAGTTCCTTGTGGGCGTGTCTCGGCCCCAGCCTGGGCGGGGGCCCCGGAGGGCCTGGGCCTAACCTGGCCTAGTAGGCGTGGGAGAAGAGCAATCGCAGAACTCGTCCCCAGCGCTGACTCCCCCGCCGCGCCAGACTCTGCCCGTGTTATCTTGGTTAGTCATCACAGTGACTCAGAGGGGAAGGTGCGGCCCTCCCCACTTTTCAGATGAGGACACTGAGGCGCAGGGAGGAAAGTGACCTGGCCGGGCTGTGCGGCCCACGCCTGCCCATCTGGGGCCACACCTGCGCCTGCGTGCCCACCCGACCCGGGGCTGGCCTGTGGCGAGAGCTCAGCAGACTTTGCTGAATGACACCCAGGGCCACGCAGTGTCCATACAGGAGGGGACAGACAGGCAGTGCTGGGCCACTGGTTCCTGGCTCACATCCTCAGCGGCCCAGAGGTTCTGGGGACGGCCCAGGTTCACATGCTGGCTTTGTCCTCACCGCTGTGTGACACGCCCTGATGTCACCTCTCCCAGCCTCACTGGGCACAGCAATCGGGTTGGTTAGTAGTGCCCACTGCCCACAAGGTGTTGGGGTGACGAGCAAAAAGGCAGAAGACTGGGCACCGCGGGTCTGGGGAGGGGCTTCTCCTCCTGGTCACTTGTACCCAAAGGGGCTACCCGTGGAGGGGCCCATGGTCTTTTCTTCTCTAGCGGGGGTGGGGCCTGACACAGGCCAGCCGGGAGGACGAGCGGAGATGGGCTCCCCACAGCATGTGTCCCGTCCGGGTCACTGCGCCTCGGTGTGCCTGCCCCCAGCCCTGGAAGGAGGAACTCAGATTTGGAAGCTGCAGCTGCAGCTAAACGGGAGCGAGGGAGCAGCAGCCGGCCCCCCCCCCCCCGGAGAGCCAGCAGGGAGGAGGCTTTCTAGATAGAGCGCGGGAGGGGAGCAGGGATCCCTCGGAGACCGGAGGGCAGGATGAGCCACCTGGCCTGTGGCTCTGCTGGGAGGGCTCCCCGGCCAGCGCTTGCCTCTCAGCACCCCCAGGGCACTCCTATCCTGAGGGAATGGCGCTCCCCTCAGGGACAGGTCCCAAGGGCCCTTATGGGACCCAGTTCCTGGCTGTCCCGTGGAGGTGAGCCCTGTTCCCACCGCATTTCACAGAGGGGACAGTGGAGCCATGTGTGACGAACCTCACTGGAGGTCACATGGGAGGGCAGTGTGCTCAACAGTGGGGCTCCATCTCTCTTGGGGGCTGTGGCAGTCTCTGGGCAGCAGGGAGGGCCATCAATACTGCATTGGCATCAATGGAGACACCCCCTCCCTCTCCATCCGCAACCCTGGCCTCAGGGCCACCCCGTGGGCCTCTGCCCCCAGAGTCGGTCCTGCAGGGCCAGTGGGTCTGGACTGCAGCAACCTCATGGCGGTGGTGAAGGGGAGCGTGTGCCCCCCCGGCCAGCCTGGCACTGGGCGCAGGGAGGTGCCTCGGGACTGCATGCCCTCTCCGGGAGGCTGGGCCCCGCCCAGGTAACCCCCACCCAACCCCAACTCCAGCTGCCCTAGTTGTCTGGGGCAGGCAGCTTCCTTTCGTTTTCATACAAACAAATCCTGAATTTAAAAGTCAGGGCAGACAACTACTCCAGGTATTAAAATAGCCACCAGCCACAGAGTCACTGCCCAACTCACAGCAGCTCCTTCTCAGCTCCAGGCCTTTAAAGAGGAGCCCCCCCCCAAGAATTCGGGGTCCACGTGCAGAGTAAGCGGGAGCCCCCCCCTTCCTGGTGGCGCTGGGTCTGCCGCAGGGGCGGGGCTGGGGTGCCCTTTGGCCTTTGCTTTCCCGCAGGCGTGAAAGTGAGGGGCGGTCTGGGGGGTGCACAGGAAAAAACAGCCCCCCCATAGGGAAGCCCAGCCCGTGCTCTCGCGTCGGGGCTCCGCCACCCCGGCCTCAGTTTCCCCACTGTTTGCCAAGGCAGGCGGTGCTTTGTGCGGCCGCGCAGACAATGGCCCGGCCGCGCTGGGCTCCCTAGCCTTTCTCTTCTCCTCCTCCGCCCGAGTGGCTTTTTTTTTTTTTTTTGGCAGGCCGGGGAGGGAATTCTGCTCCCGCCTGCGCCCTGCCCCCGCCCCGCCGCCCCCGCGCGGCTCCTGGGAACCCCTGGCGGAGGCAAACTTGCAAGTTTGCAATGCGCTGGCTCGCTCGCAACTCGGCGGCCGGGCGGGCCGGCGGGAGGGCCGCGGGCGCGCGCTGGCGGGGGAGGCGGTGGGGGGCGCGCGCGCGCGGGGCGGGAGCGCCGGGCGGGGCGGCGGCGCTGCGCCGAGTTCGCGCCCGTCGCGGGCCCCCCGCCACCCCCGCTGGCGCCGCAGCGGTCGGAGCGGGGCGCGGGCGCGCGCGGCGGGGGCGCGGGCGCGGGCGCGCGGCGGCGGCGCGCAGCACAAGTAGTTTACATTGTTGGGCGACTTTTGCAACAACTCGCCGCGCCGCGGCCTCCGCGCGCCGCCGCCGCCCCGCCGCCGCCGGCTCCCGCCGCCCGGGCCCGGCCGGCCGCGCCGGGGGCCGCCGCGCTCGCCGCTGCCCGCCGGGGCCGCCGACATGGACACCAAACATTTCCTGCCGCTCGGTGAGTGCTCTCGGGCCGGCGGGCGGCGGGCGGGGGCGCGTTCTCGGCGCGCGTGGGGCGCCCCCCGCCCGGCCTCCGCGGAGTTGGGGCGTCGGGCCCGGGGCCCGGGATCGGGCAACTTTTCCCCGCGTGCGTCAGGCGGGGAGGGGGCCAGGGTGGCGGGCGCCTGCGGCCCGCGCCGGGCCGCAGACTGGGTCGCAGAGCGGGAGGAAGGCGGGCCGCGGCGGCCCGGCCGGGACGGGGTCTGTGCGCCCCGGCCTGGCAGCGCCCCGCGGCCCCGGCTCCTTGCTCCAGCCGGCTGCGCAGGTATCGGGCCGGCCGGGCGGAGCAACTTGTGCGCCCGCAGCCTCCGGCCGCCCTGGCACCAGGACGGCTTCCGCGCCCACGCCCGAGCCGCCGAGTCCAGCAGGCCGCCGGCCGGAGCACACGGGACCCTCGTCCCCAGAGCAGTTCGGCGCCGTGGGCAGGGTCACCGAGGGGTCGGATGACCGAGAACGTCAAATCTGGGAATGCCCTCTCCCAGAATTGGGGACCCTCACCCTGGCGCACTCAGGGTGTTCTCCGGGGCCTTCTCCGGGGCTGGCCCTCCACTCGGGCGAGGACGCCCCAGAGGCACGGAGGGTCAGTTTTCCTGTCCTCGCACTGTCGTCCTGCTCGGTGGCTTCCTAACCACAGACTGCCCTCCAACTCCAGGCCGGGACCCACCTGGGAGGAGGAGGGGGCATGGCCAAGCGCCCCCGCTGTTGCCCTCCCCAGGGTTTGGGAGCTGGTGAGAGACAGGGGAGGGGGAGGCGGTGGGGAGACTTTATAAATGAGTGCCGGGAAGGATATTAATTCGGTGGTGGGGACAGCAGCCAGGCTGTCAGGCCGGGTGAAGGATTTGTCCTGAATGGAAATTAAAACAGCTGATTCTCAACGGAACCCCATGGTCAGGCGCCCCTCCCGTTTGCCCACTCCTCTGCAGCCTGCGGTGCAGCCCGGCCGTTCCGTCGGCCGTCAGAACGGCCGCAGGGACCTTGGTGAGATTGGGAGCTGGCCCCCAGGGTGGCAGGGCGATGGTCTGAGCACTGGGCACTGGCTCAGGGTGACCGGGGCTACGGTTCCAAGTTTGTCAGCTCCAAGAGGCTCCCTGCCTTACCTCTGTGTGGTGAAGCCCTCACCGGAGGCAGCTGGCCTTCCCCTGAGCAACCCTGGGGGTGGGCACTCAAGCCGGGTTCACAGATAGGAGGACTGGCCGTGGAAGGCTGAGACCACAGGCCACCAAGTGGGGGACTTGGGATGCAAACCCGCGCCTGTGGAGCCTGGAAGAAAGCCGAGCTGTTTGTGACTTAGCGTCTGGCCTGCTGCGGTGAGGCTGGCGGGCTCCTGTGTGGGCCGCCACCTCTCGTCCCCCATTAAAGCTTTGCGTGTGCACAGCCACACATGCATCCACACACACTCGGAGCCGGGCGCTCCCAGGGGATCCCTTCTGGAACCAGAACTCTCGGTTCAATCATGTCCTCCCACCCCCCACGTGGCGGGGCCCTGCTGGGTACTTGGGAACAGGACAGGTCGCTGTCCCTGACGTCCTCGGACTTGGCACACGTGGGGCCCAGGTTGCAGGCGGGTGCGCTGGAGTCCCCATCAGAGGAGGGGGGTGCCTACGAACCGCTGCCCCAGGAACATGGCTGGGTGCCCCCGCCACCCCAAGGAGGCTGCTCCCCACTGCTGCAGCCCACACACCCCGGGCCGGAGCCAAGAGACCTGGGTTCTGATTACATTATATTTTTCTCTAAGCTTGTGACCAGCTCTGAAGTCCAGTGGAGTTGAAGGTCCATTTAAGCGGCTACTTGCCTAAGCTCTTTTGTCAACACGGCCTAATCCCTCCCCGGGGGTGCAGGGGGCGCGTGTGGGAGGCCTGCCGGCCCGGGAGCTGCTGGGGAGGCCTCGCAGCTCCTGGGAGTCTCCGGCCACCTCCAGGGCCTCAGGCAGAGAGAGTTTCCTCCTCCCAGCGCCCTGGGGCTCGGCGGGCCCCATGGGGCCTGGTGGACACTCACCCTCTCGTCCTGGAGCCTTGCAGCTGCTGCGGGCCCAGCCCCACCCCAGGGGGCAGGGATGGGCCCAGGGTGCAGCAAGGGAGGCCTAGTGACTTGCCCGAGGCAGCCCCTCCTTCCTGCCCCTGCTGCCTGGGCCGGTCAGCGCCCCCACCCCCTTCCGAGGGTGAGGCCTGTGCTGGCATCCGCCCGGACGGCGGGCCTGGCCGGCGCAGCCTGTGCAGCGAGACTGGAGGTCTCAGGCCGCACCAGACCCCTTGGCATCTAGTGACCCACTTGTCCTGTTAGGGGTGGGAGGCCAGTGGCGGAGTGTTAGGCCCACCGACCACTCCCCAGGGGACTCTTTCGGACCTGGTCGAACTTGGAGCCCTGGCGAGGGGCTCCTGGGAACTTCAGAGCCTTCGGGACCCAAAATAGAGCGTGTTCTGGGGCCTCCCGAAATAACAGGGTCACATGACTGGGGAGTCCGCCTGCCCAGGCAGCTCTGTCTCGCCTGGGCAGCGCCGACGGTTGGGGCGTTTGTTTTGCTAAACTCCGGAGGGGGCTCTGTTTGCTGACGGGGAAGTGTCAGGGCGAGAAAAACAGCTCTCACGTGTGGCCTGACCGTGGCCGTGGCCTCGCCAGCCTGCATGCATCCCTCCCTGGGGCTGGGTGGTCCCTGGGCTCAGCGTGCAGCCCTGACCCCCTCTGCCCAGGCATGGGGGGCTGAGCTGGGGACCCTGAGGACAGGCAGGGAGAGAGGGCCGGGGCCTGGAGCCAGGGCTAGGCGGCTCCACCAGCTCTTCCAGCTGTGCCTGTCCTTCAGGGCCTCTGGGAGCGGCACCTCCTCCCGGAGGCCATCCTCCTGCTCTCCCTCGGCCCCCCCCCCCCATCAGGCTCTGGGGCAGTTTTGTGTGGTGGTCTTCACGTTCCCTCCTGGAGAAGGAAGCCCGGGGGCGGTAGTCGTGAAGTTACCGTACAGGCATGGAATGAGTGCTCTGGGGCGGGCCGCTGCCCTGGCGGGGCAGAGTGTGTGCGCCTGGGCCCCCGCCACCAGGAGAAGGGCCGAGGTGAGTGAGGAGGGACAGGCTTTAGCTACGCAGAAGGTGGCGTGGGTGGGGAAAAGCTGCAAAGGTCTGTCCAGAGCCGCTGGAAGCTGCCTGCGTGTGTCCTGTTCTTGGGCTCCGTGGGCACTTCCTCATGGTGCGTGTCGGGGCCTCAGCTCCGGGGGTGGGCAAGGCCCGTCCTCTCAGTGCAGAGGACTCCTTCCTCCCAGCCACTGGGCCTGGCCGTGCGGCCCTCCGGGGAGCGCAGGAGAGACCACCGAGCTGGCTCCGGCCGAGGCTTCACAAGCCTGGACCTGCCCTCCTTCCCTTCCCCACTGGCTCCAAGTTCCTTGCTGGTAGCTGCCTTTTGTAGCCAGGGCCTGAGGTGGCCCATTAATGGGTCTGTTTCCATGGGAGCCGGCCTGTGGTGGGGCAGGGCATGGGGGGGTTAGGGGGGTCACCTTCCAGACCTTGCTCCCGATGCTGGTCGAGCAGGTGGATTTCAGGGGTGCAGAGGGAGGGCGGGGGAGGGCGTCCCTCCCGGGCCTCGCCTGCCTGCAGCATTTACGCTTTCCGGGGTGCAGCTCCAGCCGGGGTCTGTCTGTCTTCCCTTCCCCCGCCGCCACTCGGGCCCAGTCTCTCCAGAAGGAAGAGGCCACCTGGAGCGGGGACCCCAGGAGGTGTGCCTGCTTAGGGGCTGCGTCCTGTCGCTTTCCGGGACACTGCGTCCTGGTCCTCGGTCGCCACTGCCTGAGTGTGTAGCTACCTGCTACATGTCCATCTTGCTGAGCCCCCGCTGCCCATCTGTAGGACGGACGCACGTCTTCAGGGCGCCGGGTGAGGCTGCGCGTCGGCCGTGGGGGCATTTTGGTGTCTGAAGGCCGTCCGGGTTCGGGGTGGGGGCTCGTCTGGGTGTTGGACCCAAACAAGACCCCAGAGCAGGGACGGTGGCTGGTGCCATGCAGCACGTGGAGCGGCTTCGGGAGAAGAGGGCTGCCCCGTGTCCTCCCCTGCTGGGCCCTTAGGAGGAGGTGGGACCCGGGTCTCCCTGGCACGCCCCCCACCCAAGCCAGCGCCAGCCATGCAGGGCAGCAGTGCCCCAACGCCTCCCAGACGGGGAAATTGCACCCTAGAGTTACAAAGCGATTGTCTGGCTCAGCAGCGGAGGGTGCGGGAAATGGAGCAGAAAGCAGCTTCGTAACGTCGTCCCAGGCTGGTGCCCGGAGAGTGGGGAAGTGCACACACGCCCTCAGCCGCCCCGGCTGCACCTGCCCCTGCCCCTGCCTGCAGCTCCACCCAGCACTGTCTGCTGCGTGTCCCCAAGACCCAGTGCCCCCGTGTCTGCGTGTCCCTGGGACCCCACAGCGCTGTGCGACCGGCACGGGTCAGTGAGGTGGTTTCTCACGGCCTGATTTCCTCGTCTTCAGATGGGCAGGATCGCCCTGGTCTCTGGCTTTCGAGTTTTGCGGTCTCCCCGACCGGTTAGGGCCCCGGGCTGCCCCCTCGGGGTCCTGATGTCCCCCGCACCCCCGTTCTGCACCTGCCTGGTGCCTGGTGCTGCATCTTCAGGGCTTCACAGAGGCTTCCCCGGGGTGGCCTTGGGAGCTGACGGGGAAACGAAGCCCTTCCGTGGGGCCTGATCGGCCTTTGCGACGGCACCGGGTCCCTGGGTGGCCGCCTGCTTTCCTCAGCCAGCCGAGTCTACAGTCCAGGGGCCCTGAGCACCAGCCCGCAGGCCCTGTCCGGAGTGGGCACCCACGCCCCCAGCCCCCCAGCCTCCCGCCCCGCAGGCAGCTGCCTGCCTGCTGGTGCCTCGGGCCCTGGGGTGGGTGAGGGTTTTGTTCTGGGCGCTCTGTGGAGGTGTGACGCCTCGCCGTGTTCCATCCCTGTGCACCCTTGGAGGCCCTTGGGGACCGGAGACCTTGACCTTTACCCAGGGCGG